TAAATGACAGATTCTGACCTAGCCAAAGGGGATAGTTTGTTACCCATCTTTCTTGTTACCCTGACTGCGCGTCTTATTTGACTTGGTTAAAAATGATAGTATTTGTAAATTGCAGCAAGCTAATTATTGAAACACGTAGATATTGATATAACTTAATATTTATTAAGCTAAAGAAAGGATGTAGAAAAGACCACTCTAAATCATTGTGACATGGCAGTGAGACCACATTTTGTTTTTTTTTGGTCAAAATTTGTTTTGCGCATTTGGCTTTGACTGAACGTCACTTAACCCCTATTCTAGAGCATAATGGCTGTGTCCAGTGTTGCCAACTCCTCAGCAAGGAAAGTAGCTATTGGCTTTGCTAGAAGTCGTGGAAAACGTCATTGCCTAATTTGCATAATATTATATTTTTCAATTTTTTCTTTTTCTTTTTTCCCTTGTGGTCCACTAAGGAGCTTAAAATCATGGTAAAACATAAACATTTTGAACCATAACATTTTTTTACATTACATTTACATTAACTATCAAAATGGAACAAAAAAGACTACAAAGAGTCAATGACCATGTGAGCAAATGGTAATGGTAATTATTTTTATTTATTTATTTTTTTAAACTAATAAGATTTCCCTTCACACACACAGGCTGTGTTTGCCTAACCTGACAACAGCCAGATGCATGTCTCGCTCCGCCTAGCTCCGCTCACATACATCTGGGAACCCGCCATAGGAATTACCTTTACTGAAGGCTGGGCCTTATCAAAACTCCTTGCATATGATTGGATAAGCCACTTGTCTGTCATCTTTATTGACGTGCTATTTCAACCACTCACACCGAAGCTAACCCGTGACGCTGTGAGAGGAGGAGCCATTTGGTAGATCAAGCTCTTGCCAAATCCGGTCGGGAGAAGGGCGAAAACATCGTTTCCACCAACAAAAGCCTTCAAAGCCGTTCTCTGATGTTCTTTTAATGAAACAATATCAGATAGATTGGACAACACAAAAGAAATAGCAGCATCAATGCTAACGCTTGCTTCCTCAATGCGAGCCGCCATTGTTGTTGGAATCTCACGGTCGCTTCTCCACTCTAGGACACACCCGCCCTGCGTCCTGATTGGACAGACCATAAATTCGGTTGGGGAAATCACTTTCAATGAGCGGGTTCCCAGATGTATGTGAGTGGAGCTGGGCGGAGCGAGACATGCATCTGGCTGTTGTCAGGTTAGTGTTTGCCAGCTCACAGAAAGAGTGGGTCATCGTCATGTCGGTCAAGGCTCTATACGGCAGGTTTAGCAACTGAGGGAGCTGACTCCAGAGTGATCAACCTGCGCCGTCAATCCCGGCACGTGCGCGCGGTTCATTTGCAGTCTGGACACTGAGGGTAAACATGCTGTGGATCTGACTGTAGCGCTGAGAGGGACTCCTGCGGAAGTGGGAGAACGGGGTTGGGACGGGGGGAGGCGCCCCACGGCAGACACCAGAAAAGTCGCTAGATTTGTCGCTTTTTTGAAAAAGAGTCGCTGGGTCTGAAAAGTCGCTAAATATAGCGACAAAGTCACTGAGTTGGCAACACTGTGTGACCTTTTGGATCACTACTTTTCGCTTGGTCACGTGACTCCGTCAGCGCTCCCTGCTGTCACTGCCCGATCCCTCCCGGAAGCACGATCTGTCCTGCGCATGCGCGAACAGATATAGATCCAGGTCGCCATAAATACTGTAATTATGGTACTAAAACTACTACTACTGCTACTTATTTCTATCCTTAACTCACTTAACGCTAATACACATCTTTAAAAAATGTTTTATGACCTTTGTGAGACAAATGTTATGGTTTTTACATTTTCTTCGTTAAACTGCTTCTCTGACGTCATCACCAGGCGTGCTCAGAGCAGTCCGGCAAAATATGATTAAACCATGTTTATCTGCATTTTAGTTTTTTCTTTCTTTAGATTAGCACTATATAGCATAAGATTAAAACGTAACGAAGAAATAAAACTCAAAAAGACTAGGGCAGTTTCTCAATTGACGAGAACGCGAGTCTGTACTCGCGTTCTTGTCAAGTCAGGTCTTGGCAAGAACACAGGAAAGTCTGGACTTGGTGAGAATGGGAGCATGCAGCATAAATCTGGGTCAATTGGAACAGATGCGTAGCTTGTCTTGAGCTGCATTTCACCTCCTGTTATTAATAGTCTCTAGATAATAAATTCTTTAATAAAACTTTTTTCATTTAGTGGGGAAATAATAATTAACACAGTCAAATAATCAAAAATCGAATGAACATTTTGCTAAATAAAACAAAGAAAAAAATCGGCGTCAGAGTCGGCGGTCCTTCACATACGGCTATGCCAAGAGAGGGCTGCTGCAGACAGGCTAAGGTTAGCCCTGGCTGCCATTAGCTTTGGAGGTCCGCTGGTTACCGCGGTCCTCTCAACTTCAGAAATCTTTCTTAATTACACATTAAATCTGTAAATGGACCATATGGTGTGCTTCAGTGTTGTAGTACTCAAGATCGGTCTTGGTCTCGAGACCATTTTTTTGATGGTCTCGGTCTCGTCTTGGACTTGACCGCATTTGGTCTCGGTCTTGTCTCGGTCTCGGGCGCTGAGGACTCGGCATTTTATTTCAAGACCGGTCAAGACCACAACTGTGGAAATAACGCTAATCATCAGAATATTATTAGTTTCTTTAAGATCCTTCTTTTTATTGGATAACCTGTCTCATTGGTAAATGCATGTTTTTTGTTTTTTTTTACCGCTGTCCCGCCCACCCCATTTCACCTGCGCGCGGGCTGCAGCACTTTGATTGAAAGTCACAAGTGGTTGTCTGAGAACGGATGTCTTCCAAATCGTCGGTTATAAAATTCGACTAATAAAATCACAAAGAATATATTTGTAAAGCAACATTGAGAAAAAAAGCATACAGCGCAATGTAAGTTCTGCAGTGCTTCACTATCAGAGACAGTAGGGACTACGTCCAACTTTTATCAACACCTTGAAAGAAAGCACAAAGAAAGGTAAGCTACGTACATATTTAAGTCATTATTTTGTGACAGTATGTTATGAGACCGACAAGCTGTGAAAATATTGAGCACTTTTGCCTTTTCTCCATGTTCCCAGTGCTAACTAGAGAAATACACTGCTTGGTCAAAAACAAACCATCTGATTCAGCAACAGGGTCTTAGAACTGACAAAAGTCAGGCAACTTGGTGATAGATATGGATTTATTTAAGAAAGGTTATATAATATAGCTTTAATCTGTATATGAGAGAGAAACAAGAGAAATGATTGCCATTTTTTCAGTTTTACACATTTGCACATTGTTTTGAAATAGCACATTTAAAAACAACATAAATGTATGTACTGTTCATGAAAGGCAGAGAAAATACTATTTTTATCGACTTTGATTAATTGTTTGAAATTCTGTGATTACTACACAGAAGTACTACATAAAGATGTTTATGTTTATTCCAGTTCTGTGTGTTAAATATCTAGGGGTTTTTATGTGAATGTGGGTCTTTTAGATCAATTTTAGTGATTTTGATCATGTTTCACATTTTATTGTCACATACTAGCGCTGGTCTTGGTCTTGACTCGGTCTTGGACCCTAAAAGTCTTGAACTTGTCTCGGTCTCGATACAGTCTAGTCTTGGTCTTGTCTTGGTCTCGGGTTAGGTGGTCTTGACCACAACACTGGTGTGCTTTAAAGTAGGGCTGGGCGATATAGAAAAAAAGCTTATCAATAAAAAAAAATGCATATTGATCGATATCGATAATTATTGAAAAGATTTTAAACCATATTTTATGTGCAGCACTGCCTGGACATGTTATGATATTGCTAAATGATTTAATTTCATTAGAGAACACAAACACAGACTTTGAATTAAATCTTTATGTAACCATAACAGAATTGTTTTAAATAAAAATAACTTAAGAGACCTGAGTTATGTTATTAAATACTGACAAAGAATAAACTAAGGTGACCAGAGAAGTGACCAAAATAAATATAACAAATAAATAAATGGACATTGGCATGGCATTCTTCTAAGCTTAGTTTCCTGCTTTAACCTGAGTTATTACTTTGAAGTTGCTGGCCCCTCAGCATTTTTCTCTCAATTGTTAGAACTACGTGGCCCAGAACAGAATATATATATATATTTTTTCCCGAAATTCCCGGAGATTCCTCGGAGGCGATGGTGATCGGAGGCGATCACCCACCTGTCTTAGTAGGTAGGGTAGGTAAATTGATAAGGTGGTTTATGCAAGTTTGAACTGGTATTATGTGCTTGGACTTTTTGTGCATCTCCACCCTGTAACACATTCATATAAGTGCTTTTAACAAGGAACGTTTAGGAATTATGACATCGTAGGGAATTTAGAGGATCCTAATTTGGTAGCAAATGCATATTCAACTTTTATTAAACAATACTTATTGTAACAAAAAAAAAAAACACACTCAAATATATCAGCATATCATGTACTTCATTGTCTTTTTGTTGTTGTTGCAAGCTTCTGACCTACATGCAGGAAATAACCAGGAGACAAATGAAGGTTTGTCAGTTAATTGTAAAAGCAGGTTTAGGTGACTGATTTCTGGAGCAGAGTGGATACTTACATGCATATTGTATAATGATCCCGGTAGGCTTACTGGGTTTGGAGTTTAAGAACTCTGGAAGTCCCACATAAAAAAAAAAAAAAAGTTTTTACTTCTGCAGTTCCCCAGAACCTCCACCAGATCGTCTGGTTTTTATTTATTCTTCAAAAGACAGTTTAACATTTGATTCACACATTCTCATTTCCCTAAAACCTCTAAAAACATTTGATTGAAAGTTTGTTGGATTTAAGCCATGAACTTTAGGCTTGATTTTTTAAATTTATTGCTTTAAGCAGATCTTTTTTAACTGAGATTCACACCTTCATATGCCTCTACTTAGGAACCAGACTGCAGAGGAAGTTGTCATCTCTCCTCCTGCTCCACCCCATGTGCAAATCTAGATGCACGCACGGAAGTCAGCTCTCACAGGTGGTTCGCTGATGTGCCAGATGAGGTGTTGATCATTGTTGGTACTACGCTGTTGTTCCTGTCAGGCAGCTATAGCTGTATGTCAGAGTCTAGATGAAGTTAGGCAGCTTCTGAGGGTAAAATCAACAAGGATTAAAAACCAGAAAAGGAGCCTCGATTCAACTAGTGGGCTGAGAAAAACCAGGGATGGGTACAATCCCACATGACCTCCGGAGGCTCTTGGATGGTAATATCTTCATTTCTTGTTAAAATATATTTATTTACCAACCGTGTTTAGATATGATTCTTATTGCTCAAAAATACGTTATGTCAAGGCAGAACTCATCAAAGCAAAGTGAAATGCATGGGTTGTGTTTGGGAGCAACTTCAAAACTTTGCAGCATTTTCTTCTTAAAAGAAAAGTCTACAAAAAAAAAAAAGAAATAACTTACATCCTTATTCCAGTTGTCATAGACCGTTTCCAACAAGCAGCATTTGCATGTAGTGCTGATCCTGCAAACGCAACCCTGTGGGAAAATTTGCATTAGTCCGTTTATATACAGGATGGAGGACATAAAGAAATGGAATCAGATAAGTGATGTGGACCAACCTGTTTTTGTCAGTATCATAAAGATGAGTCCCATGTTAATTTGTTATTATGCCTTCTGTTTCGAAGTTGGTTCAACAGAGGAATTAAATATTTGATTAAAGATTTTAGGTCCAGTTTTGTTCTTCTGATTAAACGATGCAGCACCCTCCACTAATGTTGGCACCCCAGGTAAATATGTGTTAGTACGGAGACTGGGAGAGGTCATTCTTTACTGGTAGCTTAGGATATTTTTTACCTGTCCTGCTGTCATCGTGACTGAGGAGGCAAACTGGGGCTTTGTTGGTATTCCTGGTTACATTTTTTGTAAACAATTTTTAATTTAATAAAAATTGCTTTTCCTGTAGATTTTAGCAAGCTTGGGCCAGTTTCTGCTTTCTTGTGGTAATTTCTTGATTTTTGAAAGACAACACATGTTTACCTTTCTTACTACGTATTCTTGTCCTTCCCATTTTTAAATGTAGCTAAGGAAAATGGGTTCAACCATATAGGAAGTCCTTTTTATACCCAGTAAAGCAAGCAGTGATACATTACTAAATAAAGTCACTTTATACTCTGAATCCACATGAAGAAATTAACACACTTTATTACAATTTTACAATTATTTTTTACATCAACTAATGGATTCATAGTTGTTGGTGTGGATTTTGTTTAAAAAATCATAAACAATTATTTTCTTTCTGAACATTTTTCTTGCAATAAAGGTCTTATGTCATTTGTGTGTGAGACTTATGATACTGTGATAAAATAATCTTTTGAGAAACAAATGCAAACTTCAAATTAGCCCGCAGAAGAAAAGCCCCAGTGATAAACTAACACAAAGCAGCCTACGCGATGTGGAGAAAACTTAATACAGTGTTCGTTTTTGTAAGAAATTAAAAATTTGTAATGAATTTGTATTTGGACCTCCATAAATCTCTACTTTGTAAATCTAATTTTAGCTCCAGATTTGGTAGATTTCAGCCAATTGTATGGGAGTGGTAGTATGATGGTCTGGGGCTCCTTCAGGACCTGGACAACTTGATATGACCGTAAACAGGATGGTCAAATGGAGTGTATACAATTCTGCAAAAAGGGGTGGGCAAATACAAAAGCAGAGGAAATCTAAAAGAGACCAAATACATTATTCTATACTCTGAGTTATTTTGAATTACTGAAATATATATATATTTTTAATTCAATTCAAAAACACTTTATTAATCCCAAGCTATTCTATTACTTTTTAAATTCAAGGTCATTAAACTATATTATGATTATAAATGTGTTTTCAGCAGAAAAGCGTAATTCTGTTCTGATTATAGAAATGGGAAGGAGAATGAGTTGGTGTTCTAGGACACCTCTGAGAAAGCCGCAGCTTTAGTTCGTCTCATTTTCCAGCAAAAAAGAGGTTAAAACTTTAGTTGGTTCAACACCAAAACAACAGAAATAAGGTAACATCTTAAATGTTTAGTTGTTCTTTCAAAACAAATATTATGATCCTAACATTATTTTATGTTATGGTAAGTATTCTGGATATGTCGCCTGAGTTTTAAAATTGTTCTGTGTTGTTTGATTTTCACTTTGTTTGAGGCTCAGTTGTAATTTTTTTTCAGTGGAGCATTAAGTGATAAACCAACACAAAGCAGCCTATGCGATGTGGAGAAAACTTACTACAGTGTTTGTTTTTATAAAAAATAAAAAATTTGTAATGAATTTGTATTTGGAGCTCCTTAAATCTCTACTTAGTAAATTTAACTTTAGCTCCAGATTTGGTAGATTTCAGCAAATTTAACACACGCAGCTTCTTGGTAGCTTTATTCATTTGTGAAATCGCCTTATTCATCTTACTCTAACAATGAATTAAACACTTCTCTGAGAAAAGTTTTAGCAAAGCTTTAAACTCCACACTTTCACAGCAGATATATCTGAAGGTTTCTTTGCTCTTAGTGAGATTATTTGTTCAATAATAATTCTTAATAAACATCTAAGACCTTCTCAGAGCAGCCACCTCTCTCTGCTCTGCAATTAAGAAACAACACAACTTTATTTTTCTGTTGAGGTGATTTTTGAACTGTTGAACTTAGTTGTATTTATGGGTGTTAGAGTAAAGGGTAATGAATACAACTATAAAAGGTTTTGTAAAATATTGTAAGAATTTGTGTGGATTTATAACAAGAAATCGCTTAAAAACATTGAAGATTAGGTGTGTAATGTGGAAGAATGTGAAAAAGAAAGGAGGTATTAATACCTTTGGAAGTCAAAGCTTTAACTGATAATCCCTGGCATGAATACATGGACTTGTTCCTTCTGTATGTACTAAAATCAACAAATATTTTTTGCAGCAGGCTTTGTGGCACTTTTCTTGCATTTGAACATAGTTTTCTGTTGTTCCACTGAAAAAGATGTTATGCTCTCCTTCTCCTTTTCACATTTAATTAACCCACTTCCTCTAATGTTCCTGTGCTCCACAGATTGCGAGCTGTTTGTGACAGAGATCCTTCAGGATGAGAACCTAAGTGAAAATGCCGAAGAGACGCGGCAGGTCCTGCTTAATAACTTTAGGGTCGCCCATATCAGGTAGGCTTTTACATCCTGAAATAATCCACTACTAGAAACACTGACACTCAGCTGCTGAAGTGTGACGATGTAACTTCATGGCACTATTATTGAACATTTACTGTTAATACAAAAAGAAAATTGTTACTCTGGCGGCAATCGCCTCGATTATTTTTTGAATTAGAAAGAACTCGTTTAATCTAATGAGACCAACATCAACCCCCAGTTCTTATTTACTTTTGTTAAAGATCTTATCCAATAATATGTTTTTTTTCTCTCTAACATTTGGTTTTTATTGTGTTTTAATGTACATGCCTAGTTTAACAGTGCATGAACTCCAGAAAGTGAAACTCTTGCATGAGATCTGCAAGTCAACTCCGGAAGCGTGTGTTGCCTGCACTGCACGGGAAAAGACATCTGTTGTGTTATAGAAAAGCTGTGGCTTTGTGGTGTGCAGCACAGGAAGCAATAATTACTGAATTTCTGAAGCAGTGCAGCTTTGAAAAACGTAAAAACTACAAAAAATATGAGTTTAACCCGAGAAATTTTTAATTTCTATTTTGTTGTTTTTTCCATCTTGCAGGAATCCTCATGATTTCCCATGCAGACGTAAGTAAATTGTTTATCCCCTGTGGTTAAGATAAAATGTTTCTACCATGCTTCAACCTTTGTTTTTTTTTCTGTTTCCCACACATGCTTAGCGGAATACAGGGAAGAGGAGGGTTCTGATGACAACCGCAGCTCCAGTCTGGGTCGTTCTGCCCCTTCAGACGACGCCTCCGTGTCAGACTACCAAGATGATGGAGTACCTGAGTGTGAGTTGGCAGTAGTTCTGGTTTGGACCCGATTTGTTTTGTCTGTGACTTTGTTTCGAAATCTTACCCTACGTGCTAATACTAGCAGTAAAAGCTGTTGCTCAGGTTCTACACATAAATTAGTCACTGAAAATTTTAATTAATTAATAAAAACAAAATAATATGCATTAATAGATAACACAAATCCTACAGCCATGCAGCAATATCCTAAAAATAGTGTCATTAAACAATATTTGTCACCTTATTTCTTCTCCTTTTACTTATCACACTTAAATATCACATATTAAGTAAGTTTAATTTCAAATGATGGTTTTAATTAAAAAAAGATATCCAAGTCAACATTCCCCCCTGTGTAAATGTCATTCCTCTCCTTATTAAATCCTGAAATAAACCTTGTCTCTTAGGTTTAGTTTCTCTGGAAATGCCCAGGTGTTATAAGGAACCCATAGAACCAAGTCAGGGCTCGATGTTAACCATTGCCCAATCGCCCGGGGCAAGTAGTTTTTATTGTTGGGAGAGTACAAATTTGCAAATTTGATGATTTGCATTTGCCCAGCGGGCAAAAAAAATTATCTATCACTCAAAATAACTTTAAAATCACCGACATTCGCTGAAAACGACCCACAATCGTCGCCAGCGCCATTTTTGTTGTTTTGAACACATTCTCGCGTGATTTGAAAAAGGTCGCGTGATTTTCCGCTAGATGGCGTTATTCAGCTCTTGGGGAGAGAATTCTGCAGAGCAGCAGCTGGATGATGAATTTAATCTATACTATAATACACGCTAGATTAAAAATGATCAGTCAGGGATTAGGAAAATAATTATAATTGTATGCGCACAGTGTAAATATTTCTATCATATGGCAGTCTTCTGTACAGTGGTCATACATTAAAAAATGATCATTACATTTTTTCTCTTAGACATTGGAGTGGTGCATTTAAATGTTATAGAGCTAAACATGTTAAATTGGTGAGTAGTAGTAGTGTAAGTTTTTAACCTGTCAAGTTTTTTTTTAGATTTTTAACATTACATTTTACATTTTTCCAAGCACACAACCGTTTAAAGCAAAGTTAATTTGAAAAGAATGTGCAGGAAGGTTGAAAAGCATGTTAACACGGTAATGTAGGCTTCATTATCTGACGCATGCATATACACACCAGGAACCTGGAAACTTACTGAATTACAAAAAACATTTAAAAAAACAAACATGTTTCATTGATATATATACAAAAATGAATATTAGGAACTATATTTATCAAACATTATACTGGGCAAGTAAAAATTGTTTCTGGGCAAATGAAATCCTTAACGTCAATCCCTGAAAGTAATCATCTAAAGTGAACTTGTCTGAAAACATGAAGTAGGTTAAAAGATCCCAAAAAGCAAGAAATCACGCAATAGTCTTCTTTCGTTCAGCTGCAAATAAGCAGCCATCATAATACATGAGAGCATGTACAGTGACACAGCAGGGCGTCGCGAGCAGACGGTCATCAGACAAAATCCGACTCCAGGCTAGAATCCGGAGCCAGACCCTAGACAATTTAAACATATCACATCATTCCAACATGAGACGGATAGATTACAACATCTGGATTTTCAAACCAGTTTATTAAAGATGAACTCAGAAACCTCCCTATGTTAATACTTTTATAAGTATGTTTACATTGTGAGATTAAGAATGTGTATTTACTATATATATGTGTATATCTTACCAATCAGACACATTGGATCAATTACTGGACTTTATATAATAACTTAGGAAATCAAGCTACTAAAATAAGCAACAAATATAGCTTATCTGCTCTCAGTGTACTCATCCAATATGGGATAAAACTAGTAGAGGCAAAAATGAAGGACTTTTAACAGTTTTTAAGTCTGAAGAAAGTAAAACTAGCTGGCTATTATTGCCAGATCTGAGCGTGCTTCCTGGAACATCTCTAGGCTTTGCAGCACAGCACAGCAGAGCAGAAAGAGACTGGACCAAAATGGCCTTATGGGAAAATTTTAAGGCCACTATTGCCTGAAAATAAACGTAAGTCCATTTGAGATTTGATTAAAACCATCTTGTTGATCTCCAAGACTTTTGGCAAAATATTCTGTGGAATGATAAGATAAAAGTGTTTCTTTTTGGAAAGTCTACATCTCCTTTATATCTGGCTTAATTTTTTGTTAAAAGAATGTCATACTGACTGCTAAAAGTGGCAGTGGCAGTATGATGTTCTGGGGCTCCCTCAGTACCAGAACAACTTTATATGACCATAAACAGGCTGGTCAAGTGGAGTTTATACAATTTTGCAAAAAAGAATGAGCAAATACAAAAGCAAAGGAAATCTGTAAGGGACCAAATACTTTATTCCATACTCTCAGTTATTTTGAATTGCTGAAATACTTTTTTTATTCAAAAACACTTTATTAATCCCAAGCTATTCTATTCCTAATCTAATTCAAGGTCATTAAACTATATTATGATTATAAATATGTTTTCGGCAAAAAAGCATAATTCTGTTCTGATGATAGAAATGGTAAGGAGAATGAGTTGGTGTGCCAGGACACCTCTGAGAAAGCCGCAGCTTTGGTTCATCTCATTTTCCAAGCTGCTCCTCGCCACAGGAAGAGCAGGTGGATCATTCCGTTCTATATTGCAGCACATCCCCTAAATGTGAGAAATTAAAAAACGAATGGGAAATCAAAAAAAAAAAAAAAAGGGAGGCAGACCACCTCCTGTGAAATTCCTTTCCTACCTCTCTGCCTTATGACATCAGTGGCTCCTCCCCCCTCCTTCCTTCTCCTCTCCCCTCTGGGCTCCTCAGGTACCCCAATAAATGCTGCTGGGCCACAAAGACCTGAATGGTGACCTAGAGCTCCCTCCTGTGGCAAAACAGCTCCTACTTTTCTCCTTTGTGTGTGTGCGTTTCTGTGTGTGTGTGGATAGTGGGAGGCAGCCCACACATGGTGGAGGCTTTGTAGCTGCAGGCTAATGCAGTGATTTATTGACCCACAGCTCTTCTATTCTTTCCCAACTGGGTTTGAAATACAACACTGTACCTGAGGGGTCATGTGTGTTTCATCCCTCCTCTCCCTTTTATCAATCTTTTTCTCTATCTTGTTTTCTCTCCGCTGCCTCCCTCTCATTCAGACTTTTAGTATTTCTGACTCCTATATCCCTTGATGTGACCGGCCGCAGGTGGGCATTATGGACTCAGGTGCCCACCTCTTGCAGTTTGTCTTGCTAAAGCTTGATGCACGGGAGAAGAAAAGACCGATTCCAGTAACGTTTGGATGCCGGTGGTTCACGCCAGCTGGATGGAGTCATGCTCGTTCCCTTATTTGGAGACGGCTTAATGAACTTCTTTGCCCTCGGAAGAGAAACTACTGTTTGTCTCCCTTGAAAATAAATAAATCACAACAGATGGTGTGAAGATAGACCGCAATTAGACAAGACAATAATGACCATTTTTCTTTTTTTAAATTTTCACAGTAAATAAGGAGAGATTTCCTTTGGGAAACAGACAAAATCGAACCATACAAGGCTTAAAAGTTCCCCTTAAGGCTATACTGATAACTACAAATTGCACCGTCTGTTGATGTGGTGAGAGATACTTAAAGCTCAGTGTCATGTTATTATCTGTGCTAAATGTGAGGAACGGCCAATCGTGTAGCACCAGAATATGCTTATTCTTTAATTTTCTTTGAAATTGGAGCAAGTGTTATGTCTTCAACAACTGTGGATCATGCAGCAGCGCGTCTGTTAGGGCTCGGAAGCAGCAGCCATGTTGGTGTACGGGACCTCTCTGTGTCCTCAGTAAAAGGGCATGCTGAGTTCATAGTTCATCCAGTGTTCACTGAAAGAAATGGTTCGGGCGTTTCTGCAGGGCGGTCTGTTTCTGAGGAAGAGGGGGTGTCGGTGGGAAAAAAAATGGCACGAGTTCTTAATGAGATCATTTTTAGGCCGACGGTCAGGCATGATGACACTTTGGAATTAAAACACATTTTTCGCCCAAAAAAACGGCTAAGATTTATTCAAAATCTAATTTGATGATCGATGAAACTTTTTCTTTTTTTTTTTTGCGTTGAACCATTTGATTTGATGCTAGTCTACTGTACACAATGGTGACTTTGTGACTGGGAGGATGTATGTGCTGCGGTGATCGACTGCCTGCCTTCGCCGCACTGCGTTCCCCTAACCAGTGAGTGAGTGAGTGAGTGTGAAGTCGATAGCTGCTTTTACACACAGGAGGAGCCTGCGCCGTTTGATTAGATGCAGTGGCCTGTTGTCTTCAGTGGACTGGGTGACACCAGATTTGTAATGGCTGACAGGAACAGATGGAGCCTCCTTTGTTAGCCTGGGTGTCTGCATGGTAATGTGAACTGAGTTTCACCCGCCGACCGCACCCGTGACCCGACCGCGCCAGCAGCCTCACCCCAACTCCGTCTGCCAACCCCCCATCATCAAACACTAGCAGCCTTCGATTCGCTCCATTTTAAGGAATTTTTATTCCATCACATAACCATGCCATTCCAGCACATTATGCATACATAAACAAATACATGCACAACCCCCCCCCCCTCCTCCTCCGGCACGAAAGAGCTCTTTAACACGTGTGCACGCCCATTCACACTGACACCAAAAGACCCCAGGAGACAGCTGGAGATGTGGGGCTTTTAGTCCCTTCACGCTGTTTGCAGGTCAAGTTTACGAAGTCGAAATGGCCTGTTTGTTTTTCTTTGATTGGGGAGCTCTGCTGGGCGCTCGGGGATGTTTGCTGGGAAGCAGCGGAGATGACAGAGCGCCGCAGGAGGAGGGAACAGCAGAAAAAAATGACACTTTCAATGTGTTTCTCTACCTCTTAGTAATGGTTGGGTTTCTGGTATCTACTAAGGTGTGACGAAAAACATCAAAATGTGTCACTTTTTTTTACTTTTACATTTTTAATTAAAATTTCATGAACAGGGATTTGCATTTAATTATCAAACCTTCAAGATTCTATGATTTCCTTATT